ATCTATTACATTAAACATCCTAATTAATTGAAAAAATAGAATGAGATTCCTGGTCTTATGTGGTTGAAACCCTGGCTGGAAGTTGAGATGTGGTGATGCTTGATACTCACAATATTACTGAATCCATCATGCCTCCCAGGTGGTCCATGCTGGTGTCTGAGAGAGGCTGCCATGCTGCTGTTTTGCCAGGGGCCAACTTCACCATTTTTCTATCCTGAGCACCTGCTTCTGTTGCTATCAGAAAGAGAAGGAGAAACAGTGAAGATGTGACCTACTGGACTTGGATATAAAATGTCTGGTAAATCAGTTATTTCTCTGACTCTCAAATGACAGAGCTATCAACCCAAGAGCAGATTTTCTGTCCCAAAGAAAAACCATCTCAGACTGTTCACATTATCAGTAGTAGTAATTTGTAAAGCATAGACAGTATGTTGGGTGATGTAAAATACACAGAAGATATCTGGTCCCTGCCCCAGGAAGCTTCCATTCTAGTGATTTCCTCCCAACATATTTGATTAAACTGGTGAAAGGACTGAGAAGTAAGCCCATGAGAAGCCATTCTGGCTACTAGGGATGTTAAAATGCATTTATTTGTGTAAATGTCTAACTGCTGAAATTTTACATGCTGGGGAAGGTGGGAGCCAGTGCTTGCAGGGAGCTGGCCTTTAAGCCAGCTCCCCATGAGCATCGGTTCCCATTCCCCTCCCTCCCCCTCCCCACTTAGAGCTGCTGCCTCTATATCAGAAGTAGCAATACAAGGGGCAAGTGGATCCATGGGAGCCAGTGCTCATGCCTCCCTGCCCTCTCCCTGCCCTGCTATCTCTGTGGGAGGCAGGCAGCTCCGTGGGAACCAATTAAATGGGATTTTACATCCCTACTTCAGTGTATGGATTTCTGGGGTGAAGTACTAAAATACTGATGGGATACAGACATGGGGAGATGATAAAGAAATCTGTACCTTCAGGAGACTGCTCCCTCTGTCGCTTCTCTCTCTTCTTGGCTGTCCGTGTGACCTGGTAAAAGGGAAAATGTACACCAAAGAAAGAAATGTGCAAATGTTTTCTAGTGCATGGGACCATCCACTTGCTACCAAGAACCCATTTTGTAATAAGGGCTGTGGAGGTATTTGAATATTTGACAATGTCCTTTTGCCAATGTCTTTTTTATCTCCTGTAGAAAAGGGTTGTTTTCTGGTTTGTGCAGCCATATTCATCGAGCACACATTTTCAAATAAGATCACATCTCACACAAGTTCTGCAGGCCTTTTAAACAGGAAGAAGCAACACATAACCAGACCCCTTTAGCTCTTTCATTACAGAAGCAAGTCTGTGAATGAGAAAATTTATGAATTTCACTTCTCCTAATCTCTTTCCAAAAGCAGTTTGGGGCAGCACTGTTCATAAAGTTAGCTGAGAACGTTTAGCCAGTGAATGTGAATGTTTAACCTGCCATGGGCAGGAGCAGCTCCAGTCATCCGGAGCAGCCCCTGCCTGTGGTGGGGGGGCCAGCCCAGCAGCGGGATAGGGTGGGGGTGCTCCAGCCCTTCCTTTAATCAGTTAACCGGTTAATCAATGGGCTCGTCTACACTGGCCCCTTTTCCGGAAGGGGCATGTAAATTTCATGAGTCGTAGTAGGGAAATGCGCGGGGGATTTAAATATCCCCCGCGGCATTTAAATAAAAATGTCCGCCGCTTTTTTCCGGCTTTTAAAAAAGCCGGAAAAGAGCGTCTACACTGGCCCCGATCCTCCGGAAAAAGTGCCCTTTTCCGGAGGATCTTATTCCTACTTCAAAGCGGCGGACATTTTTATTTAAATGCCGCGGGGGATATTTAAATCCCCCGCGCATTTCCCTACTACGACTCATGAAATTTACATGCCCCTTCCGGAAAAGGGGCCAGTGTAGACGTAGCCAATATGTTTAACTGATTAACCGATTAAACGGGATTTTACATCCCTGTGCCCTTTTCCGGAGGATCTTATTCCTACTTCAAAGCGGCGGACATTTTTATTTAAATGCCGCGGGGGATATTTAAATCCCCCGCGCATTTCCCTACTACGACTCATGAAATTTACATGCCCCTTCCGGAAAAGGGGCCAGTGTAGACGTAGCCAATATGTTTAACTGATTAACCGATTAAACGGGATTTTACATCCCTAGCTGAGACAAGGAGCATCTTTCGGACAGAAAGATGTGCCCTACAGATAATGAGCCAGGAGTGATCCACTTTCTACAAGGAATGATTAAGCTAAGATGTTATTGCTCTAATCATGTAGTAACTAAAGCTTCAAAGGGGTAGCCAAGTTAGTCTGTAACTGGAAAAACTTGAAAAAACAACGAATAGTCTAGCAGCACTTTAAAGACTAACAAAACATGTAGATGGTATCATGAGTTTTTGTGGGTGGTTGTACCATCCTCATGATACCATCTACATGTTTTGTTAGTCTGTAAGGTGCTGCTTGACTATTCGTTGTTTTTTTAAGTTTTTCATGTAGTAACTAATCAGTCCCAGAAAAAAATCCCTTAAACAGCAGAATGGCCAGTTGTGTTTCATTAAGTTATGTGACTACACTGCCCCCTCCTGGCCAATGACATAAAACTGAGATACAGGCAGTCCCCGGGTTACGTACAAGATAGGGACTGTAGGTTTGTTCTTAAGTTGAATTAGCACTGTGCTGGCTACATAATTAACGGCAGTGATCTAATCAAGGCATATTACTAAAATGAATTTAGTTAGCCTGTACAGGCAGTCCCCAAGTTACGCGGATCCGACTTATGTCGGATCTGCAGTTACGAACGGGGCCCTCTCCCTGGTCTCCAGCAGACCAGGGAAAGGAAGCAAAGCGGTAGAGCACGCAGGCAGCGGACAGCCCAGAAGCGTCTGGGCTGTCCGCTGCCCGCGTGCTCCGCCGCTTTGCTTCCTCTCCCTGGTCTGCTGGAGACCAGGGAGACAGGCCCCGTTCGTAACTGCGGATCCGACATAAGTCGGATCCGCGTAACTCAGGGACTGCCTGTAGTTATTTCCTGAAGGTCCTGAGGATTTTTTCATTTCTTTCCATTCTGTCTGTGTGTTGCAGACAGAACGAATGTCCATTCTGAACAAACTGAATATTTGCTCAAATGAAGTAAATATTCACAGAAAAGCTTTCTTCCCCATGCACACATTAGTAGAAGGACAACATGTTTTCTCTTTCCACATGAATATTTTGGACTGATTAGTCTGAAATGTAATTACTTCTTTTTCTTGTCCCCGTTTTTGTCCTCCATCTGCTTTTTTGCTGGCAAGTTCTGGGTGCTGCTCTGACTTGTTTCTCTTCTGTGCTGCTCCTCCCCTGACAGACTTCCCTGCCTTAGGTGGATGAACATGGTGATGTTTCATTGCCTATAAAGCAGTGGAGAAAGAAAAAGAGGTCAACAGAAACAGAGATTTATAATCTATAAAGGAGAGTAACACACACAGATATTAAACTGGAAAACTATGTTGAATACAACATAATCCTTTGTGTATCTGAGAGCAACATTCCTTTGGTATATGTCTCCAGCTGCTGCTGCTGCTGTTGGAGAAGCCAATGGAATAATGTGCAAGCACCAAAGACACACCTCCCCCATTACTTCTCAGACCCACTAGTCACCATTTGTTTGTTATAAGATCCTAAAAACCAATGTCACATCTGTTACAGGAACTATTTTCATCACATCCTCACACTGTTTTTCCCAGGCAATTACTACAGGTGGGACATCCCTGGTCCAGCATCCTCAGCGCCTGACCAGGGGAGGTCAACGCTCCACTCCCTGCTCTTGGCCTGGCTCTCCGCATCAGGCCCGCTGCCCCCAACCCTACTGGGGCTGCGCTTCTGGCCTGGGATCTGGGCTACACTCTCCAGGATGCTAACTCTCGCTCCTTCTGGACCACGGATGTTGCCAGATCAGAGTGTCCTGGATTTTAGAGGTACAACCTGTAATATGACACAAGGGATGATGCCACTATACCATGACTTCTGGAAGCAATTGTCCTGACATGGGAGGCAATGTCATTCTGCTGAGTCTCACAGGAGTGAAAGCTGTGACATGATGGACAATCATTTCTTTGCAGCAGGGACTCTGCTGACTTCCCAGCGATCACATCTCCGCTCTCTTTTGCGGCAGCACCTCTCAAGGCACAGTGATTAGGGATGTGAAGGAAAAGTCGACTATCTGCTTATCAGATAGTCAACAGGCTAATCAACTAGTCACTTCCCCCTCCCCCCCTTGCTGCCTCTATCAGAAAGAGGTAGCTGGGGGGCGCGGGAGGTACTTCAAAGCAGCAGCGCCATGTGGAGCCTTGGGCCAGCTGAGGTGTCCCCAAGCTGCCTGCAGCATTTCAAAGCGGGAGTGCTCCCTGGAACCCGGGATCAGCTGGGGACTCTCCCATTGACACCAGCCTCCATGCGGCACTGCCGCTTTGAAACGCTGCATGGAGCCGGATGCCGGGCTCAACGCTGGGGCTGTTGCTACACTTCAAAGGCCAAGGCCCGCTATCGGCCAATGGAATAGTCGATGCAAAATGCATCGACTATTCGATTAGTCAATTACTCGCAATTTAACATCCCTACTGCAGATGATGTGATTGTCATGGAAACGGCTGGGTCTCCTGGCTGGACTGTCACGGAACATGGGACTGTCGTGACAGTAGGTTGGATTCACCTGGGCTGTGCGTTATGCGATCTGGGAAGCCAAGGGCTCCTAAAGCTGAAAGACTACAACTCCCAGCAGGCATTGCCATGCCTCGTCATAGAGCGCAGGCCACGGAGGGCGCATTGCATGCTGGGAAATGTAGTATGGCCGCCTAAACACCCCTTTTCTCCTCACGGCTAGGGACTGTCGTGACAGTAGGTTGGATTCACCTGGGCTGTGCGTTATGCGATCTGGGAAGCCAAGGGCTCCTAAAGCTGAAAGACTACAACTCCCAGCAGGCATTGCCATGCCTCGTCATAGAGCGCAGGCCACGGAGGGCGCATTGCATGCTGGGAAATGTAGTATGGCCGCCTAAACACCCCTTTTCTCCTCACGGCTACCTGTTGGCAAGAGCGTTCCCGCGCTGCGGCGCGCATGCGCACGCCGGGGCCCAAGCCAGCGTCCCTCCCAGCGTGTACGGCGGAGGTGCGCCTGCGCACTCGGGTTTGTTTGGGTTTGGCTGGGGGGTGACTCGGGGCCAGACCGGGATCAGATAGGCGGGTAAGAGAATGTCCCCGAATCCCGCCGGTGACGTC